TTGTTATTTGATATTTTTTATATTTTCTACCGATATTTTTATATCTTTTTACTGTTATTATTACCATTTTTCTATTTCAAAAATACGATTATCATGTTCATACTTAAGATACATATCCTCTTTAAAGGACTCCACCTCTGTACATGTTTCCAAGTAAAATTGAAAAAGGCCCTTTACGATCGCATTTACTGTTGAACTATACAGTATAGGGGTGCCCTGAAGGGTTTTGATATATTTACGAATGGCTTTCACATACCAGAACTGGAGATGTGTGTACTTAAAATCCTCCCGCTGCCTTCCACTTGTTTCACCCTTTTCAAATAGAACAGAAAACAAAAGTAGTGGATTTTCGAATCAGCAGGTTTTGTACATCGAGCTTAACTTTTATGAGGTTGGATCTGTACAAAAAGGGAGGTTTTTAATTTTGTACTTCTGTGTTTGACATGAATAGATAACATATATGAAAGTTTTGAGCAAAAATCGATTAAATTTCTTTTCTTCATTTATAAGCCGTGGATCTTTACGTCAATGGTAGTAATGAAGCCCAAGCCCGTTTTTTCTATGTTTAATTAATCAATGGTTTCAGTTCTTAAACTATTTCATATTTTTCTTTTTTCTATATTAAATTTACTGTTCTACCCACTAGGTACTTAGGTATAAATATATTTTTAAATAAATGTATTTTCGGTACTTATAATGGTAAAGTATTTATTAATGAGGAAAGATCGTAAAAGAAAGCTATATTCAAGGAAAAATACGGAAGTGAGTGAATAAAATAAGAAAAACTGACAAAACGGTGAAATTTGGATTTTAAAAGCTAATAACGGATAACGCAGATTGAATAAAATGAAAAATGAAAACAAGGAAATAACTTTAAACAGAGAAAATAAAAAGTGCCAGAAGAAAGCAGTCAAATAACTGGGTAGTAATAGGGATTTTCATCATAATTGTTTTTGTGCGCATGCGTTAGTATCATCCATTTTTTTCGTACTGTTTATTGTAAACAAGCATTTTAGATTAGGTTAGTAATATAGATAACAATAAAGTACTACTTGTAAACGCATTAATCGTTTATTATTAAGACATCTGTACGAAATGAAACAACATAATTGTTAAAATATTTCTATGCTTTGATATTCATTGCTATTATTTTGATTTGCATACGCTAACCGAAATAAGTCGAAATATAGTGCTGTTCCTTTATCTTTATATATATATATATATAAACAATTTATATATATATATATATATATATATATATATAATATATATAAAAGAGATTTAATTTTTGCAGATAAGTTAAATAGTAAACTCTTAAATATTGGGGAAATCTATCTGCAAGAAAGACTCAATGAGTATCAATTGTTTCGCCGAACGTTTTCGCCAAAGAGAATTTGGCTTCTTCAGGGCTGAAGAAGATAATTAATAATCTTTATTCTAAGATAAAAGATAAGACTCCCATAGATAGGCTTAGTAACATTGTCTACAACATTCCATGCCTCTCTTGCAGCAATTCCTACATCGGCCAAACATCTCAATTATTGAAATCACGTATTACACTACACAAAAGTGATTCTCGACTTCACCCTGACCGCTGTGCATTAGCCAAACATGTCCATTCCACTGGTCATCTCATGGACTATACTAACACTACAATTCTCCACCGTGAGAACAATAAATCTAAAAGAGAGTTCATTGAAATGTCTTATATTTTCCTTAACGATTTCTCCATCAATGTTAAGAGTGACATTAAGAATCTAAGCGATATATACCACTTCTTACTTAAATCAGAGACCAAGAACAATACAACATCACAGATAACTAACTTGACTGATATATCCATTAACAGCTAACCTACTTTAATAATAATTTTCATTAACTAAAAATAGATAACATTCCCTTGTTTTTCTTAGATACGTCTCAATAAGATATTATAATATTACATGAACAATATAATATAATTAAAAAAAATTTCAAAAGAAAATCTAAAATAATATTTCCCTAAACTGGGATTTAACTTCATTCGATTTTACCAATGAACCTTAACGACATAAAGATTCAAAAGTACTACTTGAATTGTCAGCACATGCGTTCTGATAAAACAGAAGCTGACATTTAAACTTTCTAACAATCAAAAATTAAGTTATTGCCGACAATTCAAAAATTACTTTCTTTTAAATGTAGTTACATTGGATTTTTCGATTAACCTTGGGTAAACCTTTGTGTTTTAAGTTCAAAGCTACCATACATTTCCAACGTTAAAAAAACTATTTTTGCACATAGTAACAAAAAACACCACTATGTTGTTACTAGCTAAGTTTTTTAACATTCTAACTCTACAATTCTAAGTTACGGTAAGATCAATAATGTTTTTTAATAGATAATATATGGTAGCTAATTATAATTTATTCTCTTTCAGCCCTGAAGAAGCCAAATTAATTCTCTTTGGCGAAAACGTTCGGCGAAACAATTGATACTCATTAGAGTCTTTCTTGCAGATTTCCCCAACATTTAAGAGTTTACTATATATATATATATATATATATATATATATATATATATATATATATATATATATTTTGAGTTTCTTGAACCTTATTATGTTTCAAAAACATATGCAAGATTTTTAGAATTGGGTACACTCAAGAACAGGCCTAGAGAAAGTCGTCGTAGAGTAACTAGTGATCGACAAGACCGGTTTTTAGATCAAATAGCTAGCAGAAATCCAACCTCTTCTCATCCGGAGATCCAAAGGCAACTTTTACAGACTACAGGTATTGACATTTCAGTTAAAACAGTACGAAAGAGACTTCGTTCCCAAAATTTATTTAGCAGGAGGCAGTTGAGGGTTCCCGAGTTATCCAGACAGAACAAAATTGATCGGCTAAATTGGTGTCTGGAACACCAGAACTGGACAAATGAAGATTGGCAAAATGTCCTTTTTTCAGATGAAACCAGAATTGGCCTGAGATCAGATGAACGTCGAATTCGGCTTTTAAGACGTCGAGGCAGACAAGCTAGACTGCAAACTGCCAGATCCGTTCCAAAATATAAAGTAGGAACTGTAATGTTTTGGGGAGGTATTATGATGGGAGAAAAAACACCTTTGCGTCCCTTACGGCAAAGTTTAACGGGTCGCCGGTATTTCGATTTGGTGCTAGAACCCATAATTAGGCTGTGGCGAGGTGCAGTGGGAAATATTTTCAAGCCACAGTTGCCACAGACTTTCTGGAAACTGAAGATGTCACTGTTCTGAGCTGGCCTGCCTGCTCACATGATATTAATCCCATTGAGCATGTGTGTAACCTCATTAAAAGAAGGATTAGAGCTCGAAGGGATAATCCAGGTAATGCGGATTAGCTTATTCAAGCCGCTCTAGAAGAATGGGCAAACTTACCTCAAGAACAAGTTGACGATTTGATTAGAAGCATTGCCCGTCGGATTTAAGCTTGTATTGGAGCTAAAGGTGGGAACACTGACTATTAAAATGAACAACAAGACTGTATATTTCTTTAGTCAACCATTGCAATGTTTTCATTTGTTCGTGTTGTTTTTTTGCGTTTTTGTTAATTTCAAGCATTTGTAATATTTTTTGATTGCGTTTTTTGATAGTAACTAAACTGGTTTAGTATAAAATGTAGTTCATTTTCCATTAAAAAAATTGAGTAATACTTTACGACATCGAAAATACTGGGTGATTCCGTATAAGTTTTGTGTATATATACACATGTCCAAAAGTTTGGAATACGTACAAATAATATACTACGCCTATGGTGGTTTTAAAACTGTTGTTGATATTCATTCTAGAGCGTTTTTAAATAAAAATGATAAAAAAATTAATCGTTTGTGTATGATTTTGGTCACATTCAACTGATTTGTGTATTTAAACATTATTTCAGTCTTTGTTTAAATTTGAAGTGAGCCGTTTAAAATCCTAGAAACGTGATATCTAATTTTGAAAGATCTAGAGTAATTGCTTTGTTACAACAGGGCCTTAGTCAATGTTATATCGCGAATATTGTTGATGTTACTTAAGTGCTGTATTAAAAATTTAAAAAAAATCCAAGATACAAATGATGTCAAGGATGGTCCCAGAAGTGGTAGAGGTAGAAGTCGATGTACAACAACAGCAAAAGACCGGCAAATAACATTAATAGCTCGTAGAAATCGTCTGGAAGCTGCAAGTAGTATATCCAGAGAAATTTCCAGGCTTCAAGGACTGAATATTTCACGGCAAACAATAACAATTTGTATCGTAGAAGACCGCTACCTGTTCCTAAACTAACCTACTAACACAAAATAGTAAGACTGCAATGAGCTAGAGAAATGGTGCATCATGGTCCCAACTGGAATAACGTGATGTTCTCTGAGGAGTCAAAAATTGGCTTGGTATCTGATTCGCTAAGAACACTGGTTTGAAGGGCTCCAGGACGACAAGCCAGATAGAAACAGCCCAACCGCTTGTCCCATTTAAAGGTGGCAGTATTATAGTTTGGGGTGGTATTATGGGTGATACACGGACGCCACAGTGGCCCTCGAATTCTCCCGACATGGTTATTAAACATGCTTGGGATATTCTCAAAACACGCATCAAGAAGCAAAACAATCCCCCTATTACACTTCGAGAACTAAAGATGCTGCTCGTGAAGAATGGGAGCAATTCTCCCAGTTAATCAGTAGCATGCCAAAGCGCCTACAGTCATGCATACAGCCCAATGGAGGAAATACTAATTATTAGTGTTATTAAAAATTATTTTCTTCTACAGAAGCTGTAGTATTCTTTTGTAAGTGTTACATTGTAAGTTTTTTACTCCAAGAGAATAAATAATTTTTTTGCATATCGTTTATCTGGTTTTGAGATTTATTTAGTATTGTTGGGAATTGAAACAAAATGTTTAACTATTCAGAAGAGTATATATATATATATATATATATATATATATATATATATATATATATATATATATATATATAGAGTTAATATTTTTTTCAAATATTACCTGTAAATGCCTCCGTCGCTCGTCGTCACTGTCCATATCTAGTAGTTCGTCTATATCCACCTCAACTTCGTCATTATTTACAGAATCTACTTGTTTCTGAAACAAAGAAGAATATTTTTAGAATGAATCATTCGCGTTTCCTTTTTCAGTTTACCAAGATCCAATAAAACAGTCATTAAATCACACCGGTTCGGTGATAAAATCCAAATAACAAATAAATTAGTGTTTTACATAAAGACAGTGGCGTAACAATAATAATTGAGATCGTGGAATCATTTTATTGATTTTTAAATTTTATAAAATATGTATTTGGTATTTAGTCCAGAACAAATACGAAGTAAGTTGTCAAAGATAACCGATGACAAAAATCTGGATACATATTTTCGTACAGTTATTAAATAACATGTACTTATATAGACCATTGGGATATATAATGAGAAATCAAGGCAGATACGAGCTACTCCAATGCATTTTGCAGGGTAAAATTGAAGGAAAAGGAGCCCCAGGACGAAGAAGAATATCCTGGCTTGCTAACCTGAGAGCATGGTATAGAAAGACCTCAACACAGCTATTTCGTATAGCAACCAACAAAATCATCATAGCCAGAATGATCGAAAACGTTCGGAACGGACAGGCACCCTAAGAAGAAGATATAGACCACAACAGAAATCATTCCCGGAGAAATGTTAAAATCGACATTTTTATATGCTGCGTAACCAAATAACTAGTTGTATGTGACGTAAGGTAAAAATTCCTTTTAAGGGTTATACAAATCAATAAAGATTACACTCAAAATTACAATTACACATTAGTGACGGCACCCAGTTGAACTTTCGATAGAACGTGGACACAAGAGAAGTACTATTTGGTTTTAATCTTCATATCCAAAGATGTTAAGATATTAACACAAGTCTTTGTGTCTGCGTCATAAGCACAAAGCACCAAAACCTTAGATAGGGGTCAACAGGATAAACTATCATATAATGCATATTATATACATGAATACACAGCAAGATAAAGGTTTAAGCAACTGTATCAAACCTAGGTAAGAGAGTGTCATTTTTGTTTGCTATTTTAAAAATGTCTGTCTCAAGGAGTGGGCTTAAAATGAGGTAGGAATTATTACTCAGGATTGGATTAATGTAATGATTTTTAATATTGATATTGAGACTGTGGGATATAGCGAAAAATATAACATTTTTCCCATGTGAAAAATTGAGTATATATACTCAGATCGAAGTGTTTCAGAGACAATTTTAAAAAACATTTAATTATTGATTGTTTTTCAATAGCAGTGCTATCATAAATTAATAACATTAGTGATACACTCGTAATATTAATAATTTGTTCATTATTTCTTACTTTTTTTTGTTCATGTTTTAATTTGATGTCATGTTTTAAAAAAGTAGCTTATGAGAGAAAATAGAAGAAAAAAATCAGGACAGGACTACGATAGTGGAATCAACAATTCAAAAATCAACAATACTTGCAAAATAAGACACAGAAAAACAAAGAAATATACAGAGAATCTTGGAACGAAGCAACAAGGATTATAATGCAAACTTATCAGCAATCAAGGAAAAAGTTAGTCAACCTGAAAACGATTTACATCTTTTTGGGAGACTTTTGCTTACAAAATAATAAAACAAATGAATAGAACAAAAAAAAGCCCACTTAGAAGTAATTAACGAACAACAATGGATTAGAGATTAACAAGAGGATTTGGAAGAACAAATTTCATATGGAATTGACCACCTAACAGTTCAAGAAATTGATCACTTCAAAGAATTCAGCTTCAAAGCTGAATTACCATGACATGTCGTTAGTCATAACGAAACCAAGTAAGGACTGAAAATAAAATCTATGCAATAGATCAATGACATCAAATGGTTGTAGTTTATTTGTTTGTTTATAAGAATCTCCCTTCCTAATAAAATAAAACAATCTGAAATCCCGAATGGAATATCAAGCGGCTTATGTAATCATGGATTAACTGCCATTAACCATTCAAACACAATATGCCCGGTTTTTTAGTACACACATTTTAATCTTATGTAATCTGGGATTAAATATCATTAGTCGTTCAAACACAATTTAATTCTAGTACACAATTTCATCTTTCTTTGTTTGGCTACGAGTCATGTCATCGTAGAATAAAGCGTTTGATGGCAGATGATGGTGCTACCGCCGTGTCTTTGTTTTAAAACGTTTTAATAGTTAATAATGCAATCACTTGTTTTGTTTGTACCGAAGAAATATATGGAAGGATATAACGAGGCTAGGATCAGTTCAAATGCACTATGTATAGGGGATATTTTATATACCTATTTGTAACAAATTCTGTTTACTTATTGAGATTTTAAAGTCTTCAAACTGTTATTTTATTGCATAAATCATCTTATATCATTTGTACGAGGTAGACGAGGGCACTGAAAATTTAATGCAAAAAAGGAAAAGTTCTTCAGGCTTCTCAAATATACGGGGTATACGAGAGAATGAAAATTTCCTGCTAAAAAGAAAAAGTTCTGTAGGCTTCTCCAATATATACAGAGTGGACCAAAAGTATGGAAACACTTAATTATCTCTTAAATGGATGGTTCAAATTATACAAAAATAGGGATACACCTATTTTGCAATATGAAAATTTAAGTTTGTAAAGTTGGTACATTTACCATTTTTCTGATATCGTTAGTCACTGGCTTTTTAAATTCAACCCGCTGTATATTGTACCTTTATTGAAATCTCGATTTCAATACCAGTTCAACCGTATACAATATTTTCGATTTTAGTAGTCAGGAACATATAAAAAAAATAAAATAAAACAGAAACGCCTAGTCTCCTCAACAATTTTTTTTTGATTCAAACTATGTTCAACTACATTTGAGCATTATACTTACAAGTTTACTATATTGCTAAATTACTGTTTACCTAATCAAGTATTCAAAATGTCCTCCGTTGTCAATATGATATTATCCGAAACGATGACAGATTGCGTCTATTACATTTCTCCATGTTTCTCTAGAAAGTAGTACGGATTCATTGATAATTCTTTGCCTTAGCTCTGCAAGACTTGCTGGTGTAGTTTTATAACTTTTACTTTTTAAGTATCTCCAATAAAAATAATCTTTAGGATTAAAATCGGGTGAACGAGAAGGCCATTCAATACTACATAATCTACCAATTCATCGTCCGGGAAATGTCTGATCTAAATAATGTTTTGTTTTTGATCTAAATATAAGAGGTGAGACAGGCTCCACGAATCAGAAATCCAACTCGAGGGCATTGATGACGAAAGAGAGAAAGATAACATCCCAACAGAGGTAGAAGTCATCCAAGCTATACACAAATTGAAAGAAAACAAAGCTCCTGGGGCAGATGGGATCCCTTCAGAACTTTTAAAGCATGGAAAAAAAACCTGACATACTGTATGTATATGTAGACTAATAGAACTGATCTAGAAGCAAATAAAGTTGCCAGAAGACTGGAATGTAGGTATAATTGTACCTATCCACAAGAAAGGAGATCAAACAATATGTGACAACTACAGAGGAATAACCCTCCTAAACGTAACATACAAAATATTGGTATATATTCTTTACGACCGACTATCGGAATATTGTGAAGACATAATAGGTAAATGTCAGTGTGGGTTTCGTAAAGAAAGATCAACGCCGATCAAATATTCCTTCTAGGGCAAGCTGTGGAAAAAACATATGAGTATGGCATTGATACTCATCACCTGTTTGTTGATTTTAGAGGCGTCTATGATAGTGTTGAAAGCAACGCACTGTACAAGGCCATGATAGAATTCAGCATACCAGTACACTTAGTAAAATTGGTGAAAGCGACGCTCTCAAGAGTCCAGTGTAAAGTTAGAGACTTAGACAAGGGGACAGCCTATCATGCCTTCTATTTAATATTGCACTAGAGAAAGCGATAAGAGAATCTGGAATAATAACCAGAGGAACTATTATTAATCGCAGCGTACAATTACTAGCGTACGCCGATGAAATAGACATTATTGCAAGAAGAAAGGCGGACGTGGTCGAATCATTCAATGCGCTTGAAGCAGCAACAAAAAGAATGGGACTAGAGCATAACACTAGTAAGACAAAGTATATTAAAGTATCAAATTATATATCAGCAGCACAACCCAAAGATCTAACGATCAGAACATATATATTTAATATATTTGTATATTAATGAACTATCACATGTAATGCCTGATGCATTTGTATCAGTTTATGCGGATGACTCAACAATGCTATATCCCGATAAAGACATAAATTTTTTACAAGATAAAATAACAAACTCTCTGAAGACCTTCTCTGATTGGTCCAGTAATCAGTCGCTCCTGTTCAATGTTCACAAAACTAAATTTTTATCATTTACATCACGTTCAAATTTAACTAAACCTGATTTAAGTATTTCCATCAATGGTGAGGATATTTTGAGTTGTAGTGATGTGAAGTTTTTAGGAGTGACTTTCGACTCTCATTTATCTTTTAAGACTCATTGTTGGAATGTATGTAAAAAATTCAATTCTAAATGTTATCAATTGAGAAATTTGGGTAGAATACTTAGTCTGCAACACCTTCGTCTTTTTTATTTTGCTGAGGCACAATCGACAATAAGTTGCGGTATAACTGTCTGTGGTGGTTCTTCTAGTGTAAAGGACGTTTTCAAGGCTCAAAAACGTATTGTAAGATGTATAGCAGGTGTTCCGTATGGTTGGTCTTGTAAAAACCTATTTAGAGATTTGAATATATTAACAGTGTATGGAATTTACATTTTGGAATTATTGATACTAATTCATAAAAATAAAAGAACTTTTTTATGTAACAGTGATATTCACTCACACAACACAAGAAATAAGAGACAGTTTGTAGTACCCTATCGACATTTAGAAATAAGCAGGAAGTCATCTACTATCTGTGGTTTACTACTGTATAATCAACTTCCTCAAAATTTTAAAAACATTAATTCAACTACAGCTTTTAAAAACCAAGTCAAAGAGTACCTAGTGACCATGTGTCCTTATACATTAGGTGAATATTACGAGGGTGTATCTGTGAATGCCTAAGCTGCAACATAAC